CTCTCAGTATTGGACTGGGCACTGTCCCGAATGGTCCCGAATGATACCGCACTTGTGTCCCTTTGAACTTCAGTCGTATAATAAATCTCTTATTAACCAAGCTTGCTGGAAGAATATCGGCCCTCGGTCTTTTTTGTACAGAGCACACTGCGCTTGGTCCGTACTGTCAAGACTTCAGGCTGATGTTCTCCCAGTACAGCCCTCGCGCTTGGTTAATAAGATAAATTTAATCCATTACAAACGACATGCAGAGGAATGTTTTCCTATGCATGTCTAGCTTCTACATTCTACTGTAATCAAAGACTAGCAAAAACCTGCTAGAGGTGTGGGTTCAAGTTCTGAGGCCCATTACTTGAAATTCCCAGTAACTTTACATACCCAAATTCATAATTTTGAAAATTAATCTAAATAATTGCATGAATCTGAGCTAAAAAAAAAAAAATTGGTGACCTGATACTTTAACACCAAATCGATCAAGTTCTTGATCTTGAATGTCAACGCTATGACCAAAAATCAGCTTGTAGGATTAGTAAAGTTACCAGAACCCTTGAGAAACGGAACGAACTTCCTTCAATCAAGGAGAATAAAAAGAGACCTTCAAATTGCACTGGAAGCTTGAGTAAATGTGTTGGCCTTATAATCATAAGTTCACCTTTTCTCTCAAGTCTTTTAATGCAGGATAAAGTACATCTTTGGACAACAAGTTCTGCATCATTCCCTGCATCAAGGGAAGGAAATCCATGTCTCCATCACCACCAGACAAATTCATATCTGACACTGACTTTAAGAAATCTTCATTAAAAGAACCAGCATTCTGTGGAAAAAGAAACAAATTAAAAGATAGATCAGGGAGGGGAAGTTTTTTTCCTCAGATAATTAATAAAAAAAAAACACACTTTGCAATTCATAAAATCATTTTTTTCCATCATGACAAAATTCTCAAAAACCCCCACCAATTTGTCACTAAGCTGTACCACCTTTTTTTCCAAAAGAAATAAAGAAAGTCTAGGACTAGAAGTTCATGAATATAGCTGGGTTTCATAAGTTTTAAAGTAAGTGGCAAAACCTGCAAAGCAGGTGGCTAATGGAAGTTCGATTTTTCATGTAATGTTACTCAGTGATTTGAGAGAAAGTAGGTGGTGATTTTGGGTGACATACACAGAGAATTTCATCAGTTGTCAGTTCTCATTGCAACCCCAGATATAGTGCTTCCACACTACTAGAATCAGTACCCAGTCACTTAACTGACTGCATTGGTTAACTTACTGACAGTCATCTTCAGTCTTCGATAACAAATCAATTAAAAAAAATTTCGTGTCAGTGAGTTGACCAAAGTTGGCAGAAAGTTGACATCAGTGAGTTATCGTGTGGACAAAGTGACTGGTAATGCGATGAGACTGGAGTAAATCTTTTGTTCCAACTTTCTTGTAAAATGATCATTAGGAACAGGAACAAATCTCACATCACATTACATTTTTCAATGGCATAATTATTATCAACTTCAATCAACCCTTTTTCTCCTGAGATCTCAGTGGTAATTCTCCTTACGGTCAATCATGCAGTTCTTATGATGTTTGTTAGGAGAATTTGGCATTTGATTGACTAATCATCCCCTACTTGACATTTTAACGTAAGGAAAAATTCTCTGTTGGTCACTCATGGGAGTTTATGGGTCAACAAAAATAGTCCATTTTACAGTTGTGTGCTTGGTTGCCAAGCCTTTGAACGGGAGTGAGGCTGGGGGTGACCTTGTTTTGATACAAACCTTGCTGCCTTTCAAATGTAAATCACTTTGTTATCATGCTAACTAGATCCAGGTCTCTACCACAGCAAGGTCACCTTCAGCCTCACTCTAAATCAAAGGCTTGGAAACTAAGTACACAACTGCAAAATGGCCTATTTTAGTACTACGGTAATAAATGATCACCTCTAAATCTTTGGCATTCTGAGCCAAATGATTCATGGTTCTGGCCAGATTAGCTTCGAGATCTGCCACCGATGATGGATTATCTAGAACATAAACATTTACCATTCAGGAGAAATATTAAGCAGTTCTTGCAGCTTTTTCAGATGTACAGAGGAGCTATCATTTTAAATCCTGGTATTTAAAACTACCGCTTTCTAATATTGAATTTACTGGGCTACACCTCATTGCTAATTGTGACCAGAACGTTAACACCCTAAAATTGATATGCATTTTCTCCATATCGTTCGCTATATATTTTCTAAGGTGCAGACAAGGAGAAGATGTTCAATAATCAAGAGCTTCATTTATTTAGTACCTGATCATTTCCTATATTCTTGTAACCTTAATTTTTTAATCAGGGGGGTGATATTGTAATGAGAAATGAGATGATGATCACCCTTAATAGTCAAAAAGTCACACCATATAAAATTTAAATTTACTCTGGACATCTCAAAACCACAGTATTTCGTAGAGGTGACTTGAAGTAATGGAGGGAGAAGATTTCAAAAAGTCTCAGGGCTCGACACTAATTTTTCAACTTACTAGGCAAGTAGCTAGTGACATCTTAGATGTTTTTAGATTTTATGACAATCTCAGTCTGTTTACTAGCCAAACTGGCTAGTGGAAATTGAAAACCTCTAGCCAAAACTGAATTTCTACTAGTCTGTGGCTCGTGGGGTACCATTAGTGTCAAGCCCCGAGTCTATTGGATTTTAAGGGTTTTTACTGAATACAAAGGTCTTTCCTTGGGAATAGAACATGTCGTGACTATTCTACCAGATCTTGCCAATTCTCTCTTCATTAAGTCTGTAAAAATTTCAAACACTAATTAACAATAATTGGAAAACAGACTACATAGATAGAAGTTCATATTTAAAGAAGAATAACACCTTGTGTATGATGCTTCTCTATCAGATAAAAAAATAGTTTCTAGGGTGTTGCTGTCCGTGGGTCTGTTCTGTAGTATGTGGTAAAGACATATTTAGTGACACAGTTGACTACACCTCATGTGCCACTTTTTTTTTTTTTCTTACTATGTTTTGATGTCATCTGCGTGTAAACTATTACTAAACAGACACATGGCATGGAATTTATCCTAAACTGATGATGATAAATGTTAAACCATCTTACCATGGTCTGCATTAGCTGCAGCTTGTGCAAACTGTTCAAGTTGTGCCAACAGTTCTGGTTCATCTCCTAAAATTGATTTCATTGCATTTTCCAAATCTTCTAGGCCAGCCATTTGGCCAAAATCAGTTCCTGAACGAGCATTATCAGTGGTCTGTTGAGATGAAGCTGATGCACTGCTACTTCCCTCAGTTTTCAGTGTTGATTTTCGGCTGTTGCCAGGACTTTTGGCAGAATCTGACAATTTCTCTCCGTTTTCTGAATTAGTTTGTGAGCTATCTTTTGTTGCCAATGGTGCTTTGCGGTCAAAATCTTCAAGTGCACCTAAAGAAATTAATGGCAAATAAAAACGAAGAAAGAACAAATGGTTTACTTTCTTACTTCATCAAAATTAGCTCCATCTCTGAATATGTTGATCTTTCATGTTCTTCCTTTTGGGTTAAAGTTGTCAAGATAATTTGGTTCTATCGAATGAGTTGATATTGTCATTTGGTCAACATTCAGAGTTAAAAGCTGAGGTTTTGAGCATTAGCCATTTGTCAACTCAGTTGACAAAACCAAATTACCTCATCAACTCCCCAGGGACACAGCCCCACAGTTTCTCTAGAAACTTATTCCTTCGTACATTCAAAGCTATCAAGAGTCAACTACATACAAACAAGATTAATGAATCAAGTCATATATTTTCATATCATAACGACCCTGGACATTCTGGGCCTTAAAATCAAGGACGAGCAGTGACTGGAGCAGGCCAAGTAGACCTTGAGGCACACCTACTTTTATAACAGTGTCAACCCATTCCTTCACAAAACTGATTAAGATGTAATTTCTCCTTACAATATCGAGACAATTTTCTGGTCTTATCCTGTTCACAGCTGATCAGCTAAACTTAAGTGCTTAGGGGAATTACCTTAAAGGGTTATGTTACACCTTGCACCAAACCCAAACATCAAAATGAAAATGTCTCCTTTGAGTGCGATGATCGATGATTGCCGTAAAGTTTCAGAGTAACATAATATAATTTGGATATCAGGTGAGTGCAAAGGTGATTAAGCAGTTTTTAATTTTCTCTTGATCTTAAACTCAAGCGGAAAAAACCAATAACTTCATTTTAAGACTACAAAGTGATCCAGCAAGAGTAGCTAATATTCGAACAAACAACTCACTATCAAGAAGTTCATCTAATTCATCATCAACTTTTCGATCTTTGTGCTTCGCATTTCCATCCATGGCTTCTGATATAACTTTGGTCAGCGTTCAATATCATTAGTACCAACCTTCTCCATAAACTCAGACCGCGCAGACGGCGAAATGAACAGACGGTTTCTGCAGAAAAAATTCACAGCTTGTGCACAGTATTTGAGGGTTTTTCAAACTTTTCTAGCAATGGTAAGTTTCAAAGCTGCGCTTATGGAAGCGTTACTTTGTTTTAGTTTCAATCTAGAGAGTTAAGTAATCTCTCTTAGTTTTGGTGATCAAAAGATTGTACAACTTTGAGACGATCAAATGTACGTTAGATAGCGGCTTACGATCTCTCTCTCCCCAAAAGGGGAGAGAAAGGGTGACACTTTCAGCAAGGCTGGAAGAGCCCTGTTTTTAAGACAGTGTGACAAACATGAAGATAGCATCCTGGTACTTTACTTTCTCCTGTGTTTAAAATGTAACCAACGAGTCACTGTAATTCTCCGCAGTCTTCACCAAAGCCCACTAAATTCACCGCTGAAGAGCGGGAGACAGAACTTAAGCCTTTAAAGGCCGCAGGTTGGACAGAAGTTGAGGGGCGTGATGCTATCTGCAAGGAGTATAAATTCAAGAATTTCAACCAAGCATTTGGTTTCATGACACGTGTGGCTCTGATGTCAGAAAAAATGGATCATCATCCTGAATGGTTCAACGTGTACAGCAGAGTACAAGTAACCTTGACAACACATGACTGTGTAGGGCTTTCTGAAAAAGATATCAAGCTGGCAAAATTCATGGACAGAGCTGCAGGGTCCATGGCAGTGTAAACATAACTCAAGAGTTACCTAGTCACTTAATGCAAGTCAGTGTAGCTGTGCACGATTGTTTAAACAGTTACAGACTTAATTATAGAAATAAGGAAATTGGTGACTACATGTATATCTTGTAACAGCGTGTATCCAACACCGTGTTCTCTCTTAATTTTTAGGTAAAAGATAAAAAGAAAAATTTCAAACCAGTTGAGCAATCCCTTTACCTGTTAAATTTTCTAGAATTCTAGGGTATTTCAGGGGTAAGTAAGCGGTATGACTGGTGGTAATTTTACTGTTTTCCACCTGAAAAAGAGAACAGGGAGCTTAAGAAACAAATTATGACTGTGATGCCTTGGACAGTGTCAGTTAAAAAATGAACTTATATTTTACCTATGAATCGTGCAATACTTTCAAGTCATTTAGATTGTTTATTACAGTCAAAACTATCTGTAAACGGAATATGGAACACAGCATTATATTAGAAATCAAAATTTAAAAATTAAGCTGTCATGGCTCACATTCTCCAGACAACACATAGTTTGGTCATTTGGCATTGTTATTTTGCAAAGGACGCAAAGAAATTTATGAAGACCTTAGATGTACGTGCACAGCCATTGTTCTGCTTATTAAACCTTTTGTTTAGGGACTTTCCTGTTTCCATTATCGCTGCAGTTTTCTTACACTCCCTAACAATTCCAACAAGGACAAACATACATGCACTTCTCCAGAAAAAAAAAATGTGAAGTTTTGGGGAATTTAATAGATGAGAGCCAAAAGGGTAATTCACTTGACAAGTCTTTCAGTTTCATGGTGACCATGCAAGAAGTAATTTCTCCTAACAGAATGAAAACACTATCAACCAGACAGAAATGGATAGATATTCTAGTCTTCTTGGATAAGGACGAGTAAACTGTAGGTCCCGTCTCCTGCATAGTTAGGGGTAGGAGACGTTAATTTCCCACGCATGAGATTACTGTGTGGTGGATGTCCTACCCTGGGGTGGGTGTTATGCAACGAGCTTCTCTGTGACCATCTCAGCTTTGCTGTTAAACAGTTAAACTGTAGACATGCCCGTGTTCAGGCTACAGGTGTAGATATATATGTTGTAGTTCAATTTTATCCTTGGTTCAAATTTTATTTTCGTTTGTTTCAAACTCACTATCATACATTAACATGACCGAGAACAAAGGAAAATAAAATTTGAACCAAGTTAAGAATTGAAATACAACATATATATAAAACAGATGATGAGAATAGCAAAAAATAATCCATTAAGGGAATGTTGATTGCTTGAACATAAAATTCTCAGAACTATTATAAGAGGAAATATATGGTAAAGAGTATTGAGAATTACTGTTGAGATCTTAGGAATACAGAGGTTAAATGTCATTCAAATACTCTCACAATATGAATGATGGGAACAAACACCTTCATGATGTAGAGAAAGATGACAATGACACAGCCAAACCAATCACAAGACATTTGGAAATCTGCAGATTTTCCCTACATCTGTACACAGCATAGAAAGTTGCTAAACACTAGAATAAAAATTTATGCTTTTTTTATGTTTTATTTTGGTTTCATCAACTGAGTTGATATGGTAAACTGGCCACTGAAAGGGTTTACTAAAGCTGGCATTTTGAGGGTTAGCCCTTCGTCAAAGCAAGTCAAGGAATTATGGAATAATTTGGATATATCAACAAAGTTGAAATGGTAAATTGGCCACCGTAACGATTACAAAAGCTGATGTTTTGAGCATTAGCCCTTCGCTCTGACGAAGGGCTAACGCTCGAAATGTCAGCTTTTGTAATCGTTATGGTGGCCAATTTATCATTTCAACTTNAACAGCAATACTGTCTCCAATGAGATTGTCAATAGTGGACAGTCAGCTAACTCATTACACCATAGCTAAACTAATCATTCAGCCACAAAACTAAAACTATGATCTGAGCATTGAGAGTCTTAGACACAAATGAAATGGTAGTGTCAAGAAAATAAATATAAAACAAGTTTTATGAAACATCCCAACTTGACTCATGATAACTTCTATTTAGTTGTTAAAATCTTCCCTCGCTTCCCAACAACAGTGGCACCAACCAGCAGTATATCAATTCAAATAGTTGCAGGCCAATAATAATATTTCTTTCATTAACACAAATGAAATGATAAAGTACTTTTAAATAATAATGTCAATATCATTTTTCTGTCCTTGTCTCAGATGTTCTTTTTGGTAGCCTGGCAGTCAAACATATCAACTAGGATAGCCCTTCCATAGAGCTTGTTTTGTCCATTGCAAGCAGTATGTGTTGCTGCACTGTTCTGGTTCTTGTTTTACAAAGGTTAAGACACTTTGCACTCATTTTTAAGTTCATCTGGTAACTCTGGTGCCACTTCCGGCATCTCTGGAAAAGGCCCAGTGAACCCTGGTGGCTGATTGAGAAAAAAGAGTTACTAATGTCTGACATTAATATCAATGAGAAGAAGAAGCAAAACTATTGTCAATTCTTGTCCTTCTACTAAGGGCCAGCATTTCTTCCCTCCTCAAAAATCCAATTTCCAAATTGCAGTTCAATCTGGAAACAGCTGATGTTGCCACCACTTGGAGATAATAATTATTGTGAAATTCCTGTTCTTAACTTACAGGTGTAGCCCAAATGTTTCTCCACCCACTAAAGACCAATAAGGCAGTCAAATGCAAAACAATTTGGATATATCAACAAAGTTGAAATGGTAAATTGGCCACCGTAACGATTACAAAAGCTGACGTTTTGAGCATTAGCCCTTCGCTCGAAACGTCAGCTTTTGTAATTGTTGCGGTGGCCAATTTACCATTTCAACTTTATTGATATATCCAAATTATTTCGTTACCCCCATCAACGCAGCCCCAAACAGTTTCTTTTGAAACTGTCAGCCTTTATTCAAGGAATGATGGGTTGTGTGTGTTTTATATACAAAGAGATAGAGCTATGCAATCGGTGGGTACATGTACCTCTGCCAATCTCCTCTATTGCATGAATTGTATTTATTGCAAAAAGTTATACATTGACAAAACAGGAAGATGATTAGGTGACTGATTCAAAAAAACACCTTCAAAGCGTAGAGAAAAAAGACAAAAACACAACCAAACCAGTCGCAAGATACTTGGCAGTCTGTAGCTTTTCTCTACATCTATGCAGCATGGAAAGCGGCAAAACACTAGAACAAAAATTTATTTTTTAAATTGGTAACCTTAATCCTCTCAATATCACAAATGTTTTTCATTGAACTAATTTATTCTTGTGCCTTTTCACACTACTATTCACATCATCCAGTGGCAAATCCAGACTTTGAGCTAAGGAAGGCCCAGTTTTTTTGTGTGTGTATACCTGTCTGCCTTCCTTCTGTGATTATTTTTTTATCCAAAATAAGGGATTGTGGGGGAGTCTGGATCCCAGGCCACTCTCCTAGATCTGCCACTGTTATCAACCAAGTTACATTCAAAATATATTGGTACATAGGTACATACAAAGGGTCTTAAATAGTAAAAAAAATGTAGCAAAAATAGATTCTAAATGATTGAAAAAAACTGTAAGTTACAAGTTGCACTTTTCTTTTGCAAGGCTTATATCACACATCATTGTCATCCTCCACTGCTGCTGAAATGTTCCAAAAGAATAAAAGAAACTGCTTTGCTTTGCATCATACTACTTGAATATCATTTTCTTGTAAAACTGAAGTTCAACGATGCTCTCTTTAATGTCATCTAGGGCTCTGCATTTAAAAGCAAATTATTGATTAGATTTGCTATTTGATTCAAAATGGTGAATGTTAGTTCTATTTTAAAAAGAACAAAAATGGGGGAGAAAAAAAAAATAAACAGAAGCATCCTTTCTCCATAATTATTAGTAACAATCAGTAGTAGACAAATCATTAAAATACTTCATTGCTGTTTTTGTACTGCCAACCCTTCAATTGTGTTTCATCTAATCTGAAAAAGGCAATCTTTTGGATACTTCTCAACGCTTCGCGGCTCGTAATAACTTCACACCGCTTCGCGGCTCATAAAAACTACTTGCTGCTTCATGGCTCGTTAAAACACAGAGAAGAAAGGAGTAAGCAATGCCTCTGGGACCAGGGTTTGGGGTATTGGGCAGTTTTACTTGGCCTTTTCCAAGCTCTTGGTCAAAGGAGACGAGGGATATATAATTATAATTATATCATGTTCATACTATAGTCCCCAAATATTTATTGTACCTGTGGTTTTCCTTTTTCTGGGGAACTTGTTTATAGACTTCAGGATACCATCTCCTTTTAGTGAGGAAACAATCAAACTACTTTAAATAATGAATATGAAGCACACACATTGATTGGTTTTTACCTATGATGTACTGGACAACAGGCAAATTGATAACATTAACAACAATGTTGTGCTTTGTTATCATGATAATATAAAATAAATGGATTCCATGTTGCCATGCATCTGCGCAGTCCGAGACCATAGAAGCTGTCAAGATGTGGTGTGATCCATGCCCTAGTTCTTTGTTGTTGCCACATTTTGACATCATCTGTGATCTAGTGATGAACAGATACAGGGCAACATGGCATCTATTTGTTCATCATAACTTTACAATTGGTCCATTGTCAGCATTCAGTATTTATTTAACTCTTTAACTCCCAGGATGTGATTGCAAATTCTCCCCTCTAGCTCGCTGCAAAACATTTCCTTGTAAATAAGTTCCAAGAGTTTGGTGTTCCATCAAGATGTGAACCTCTACCTGATAACTTTATGTATTCTCATTACCTGTTTGCTGGATAATGTATGGATATCATAGGAAGAAGTTACATTTTAATCATTACTGAGAAATTAAAGAGTTAACATGAAATTAAAAGCAGGCAGCGTGGCCAAGTGGTCAGCGTGTCAGACTCGCAATCCACTGCTCCCGGGTTCGAGTCCCACCCTGACCACTACCTCGATTTGTTTCATGGTAGCTCCAAGTTCAAATCCTCTCGCCGTTCTTGTAAATAGCCAACTGGTTTGGCTCCGGCCAGCTGGGATTCTTGAATTATTTGTTTGATTGAGGGCCACTAGTTCATCAGTTGAATTACTGTCGTGTTACTCTCCTTAAAATAAAGTTGTTGTTATCATCATTATTATTATTATTATTATTATTATTATTATTATTATAAAAATGGTTATGAGTGGAGTGAAAGGGTTGTGAACCTTACAGACTTCACAAAAATACTATCCTAAATCTAAAAATCTACCATGATTGCAACTACAGGATTGAAAGCAAAATTATTAAATAACAATCAAAATATAAATTGATTGAACTAAAACTACAACATTATAAAATCAGCCTGGTATAAAAATCAAATTAAATTATGGTACACTGAAGATTGAAAATTCATAAAAGTATGATCATAAAATTTCAGTTCACCAACCTGCAGAGTTCTTTCACCGTGCTGACATCTACAATTCTGTAATGTAGGTGATCCATAAACTGAGGCATGTACTTGTCCAAGAACTTTTTATCTGCATGCACACTGTTTCCGGCAAGTTGACACTGCTTAGGTTGAGTGTACTGTTTTACAAACTCCAGAAAAGTTTTTTCTGCCTCTGAAAGGCTGATTTTGGATGCTTTAACGGCAGCTGTTAAACCTGACTTGATGAGTGACAGATTTGAAATGTGAAGAAGAAAGAAAAAATAACATATCATTGAGTGAAGCGCATCTCTTTTCAGTAAAAATAACTCTACCAACTAGCTTTTACTTTAATTGGTTTAACAATGACCAGATTGGGAAAATTAACTTTTGCTTGTCTCAAATGTGACCCCAATATGTAAAAATATCATGTTGTGCATTAAGCAAATAAAATCTGCTTAAATTTCAGTTACATACTTTGAAGTATTTTCATACAAAATTAATTGGCTTACAGGGCTGGACACTAACAGTAGCCCACTAGCCACAGACTAGTAGAAATTCAGTTTTGGCAAGTGGTTTTCAATTTCCACCAGCCAGTTTGGCTAGTAAACAAACTGAAATTGTTGTAACATCTAAGTTGTCACTAGCCACTTGGCTAGTAGGTTGAAAAGTTAGTGTCGCGCCCTAGCTTACTTGGTGGATATAGGAGTTACATTTTTTACTAGTTCTGTTATTGCTTTAAATAGTTGTTCACTCTGGGGCAAACCAATTTTTTTCTGCCACAGCAATTATTTTTCAAATTGCTTAAAAAATTCATTGACCATACTTGTCAGAGCGACACAGAGAGCTTGGAGTTAATTTATAACATGGCTTCCTTCTAGTCTCTCCATGTTTTTACTAACATATTGTATTTTGTTACAGCAAATGAGTTTATCTTATACAGAAAATTCAGTACAATGCTTCTTTACTTTTAATAAATAAAAGCTACATGTACATGTCAAAATGACAGCTTTTCGTACAGTCACTGTTGTTTCCCATGTGCTTTTACCTCTCCATGATGTTTGACACACCACTTATCCATGGCCTCTAAGACTGAGTTTGGTTGATGAATTACTAAGTCAGGAGCCTATAATAAAAAAAAATGTAAAATTTATACCAAAAACAAATTTGCAGTTAACGTGCAAAGATAATTTTTTTGTTCCTCTTTGATCTGTGTACCAACAGATATATATAATTATTCATTTCATTTAATTGTGAGTTTCTCTAGAGGAACAAAGAACCTTTTGAATTTGCTCTTCTCCCAACATGTGGCCATCTAGCTCAGTTGGTAGAAGCACACAACTACTGGTACAGTAAAAACCTGCATACAAGAACACCCATTTTCAGGGTTCAGGCTGATGGGGTTCTTATATATTGGGTATTTTAGGTGAAATCAGCCTGAAAGTGTTCTCAAGTGTTCTTAATTTTTTACTTCTAAAAAAAATGTAAGGGATTTACTAACTATAGATGATGAAATACATAACTTATAATTGTAATTATAAGACTTTTAATTCCAAATACAGTTGTTGTACATTTGCTATACTCTGCAAGTGAAATTGCTAGCATTTATACAGAGATCTTAGTGCAATACCACAGTAAAGCTATAGACACTGTTTTGTTCTATTAAGCTGAAAAGGGAAGAGTTTTTATATATAAGAACAATTTTTTATTTTCAGGCTGAATGTATTCTTATAATTATATAGGCTCCTTTTTTAACCAAATTTCAGCCTGTGTGTAATCTTAATCCACATGTTCTTGTATGCGGGGTTTTACTGTAGTACAGTACAGCTCAAAAGTAAGTTGACAGTCTCGGCCTAATATTCAATATGCGAAGCTATCATGAATCAAGAATCGAGATTTGAGACACGTATTGAGAATCAAGGATTGAGAATCAAGATACTTGAAGAACTTTTCAGGGATCTCAATCTACAGTATCAAGAAAACTGTTTAATTATTGCACTCAAAACAATAGAGAAGGACACAGTGTTCCACACATGGCTTTTTCTATGTATCTCAAAAGCATGGGCTTAGTTCTTGTCAAAGCCTGAATTTTTTTTCAGGCCTTGCAGATAACCTGCATAGATCCTTTTTCATTTCTATTTTGTTCCTAGACATAACTATATTACCTCTGCCACAATGTTGAGGTTTTCATCTGTGATCAAGCATGCCATTTCTATAATATGACACTTGTCAATGTCAAGACCTAGAGCAAAGATGTTGAAGTTTTAGCTCCGTCCAACACCGCCCTCTCCAGTCTTCTCCACACAAATTAATCATCACAAGTGAAAAGAGGACTAAAAAAAAAACTACATGTTCAACAGGATTTCTATTACATTGATCAAGTCTTTAAATTTTACAGTGACAGGTTGGGTAACTTAATTCTGAATAAGATTTTCCTAGGGGGGATTTTCTGGTTTATTAATTTAAAGCTATCCCCACAATTTCTCGGTGAAATTTTAATAAGGATAAAGAGAGTTGATTGTGCTTCAATAAAGAAAAAAGAAAAAACTTTAACCATTTCACCTTTAAAGAGTGATTTGCATCTAATTTCTCCTTACAATTTCACCCTTGAATCAAACAGTAAGGTCAGGAGAATAAAGAAAATGATCATCAACTATAGAAACCCTTGATTGTTCAAGAAATTCTCTTTGTCAGCACCTTAGAAAATATGTAGAGAACAGTATGGAGAATATGCATTCTGATGTTAGGTTGTTATATAATTACCTGTCATCTTGATGGTCAAACCAGCATCAGCAAGGTAGAGTTTAAGAGGGAATAAAACATAATTTTCAGCAAAACACAAAAACCACAACAACAAAACAAGACAATCTACCCTTGTTTTACTGATTCAAAAAAAAAAATTCTGAATCAATAAAAATTGTGTAGTAGACTACAAGGTTGATCTGCATCTTGAAATACTTGAAATCTTTTGTGGATAATGCATGAATTAGCAGCTTACCCCTGGGACTCACCCCCAGGGCACCCACAGGAACCCAGCGGATGGTTCCCAAGGGGGAAGCCACTGATTGATGCAAACAAAAAACCTCTTCAGTGCACTGATCACCAAAAAGTAGAGTAATATTTGAATGCAGTTCAGCTTAGATATAGGTTTTACTGTTCGCTTCTACAATCACTTTTCTTCACTGTTATTTACCAAGATTTCAAATCCCCTAACATATTTTTACCTTTCACTTTGCAGCTGATGCGAAATCACCAAAAACAAAATAAACCAATACTGGCAAGTCTATCAATTAACCGTAACGTTTGAATACAAGTTCGCTAAAACACAACTTTTAATATCCTCTCTAATAGTCCTTTGCATTCATTTTCCTTAACTGTAATTTGTTGAAATTCGAATGCTACAATCACTTTCGAACTGATAGGTTTCCAAAATCAAACAGTAATTAAATTAGATACAATGAATATATGAAG